TGTATTTATACATGGTTATCATGTCTCCTCTCAGCCTTCTTCTTCAGGCTAAACGTGCCCAGCTCTTTAAGCCGCTCCTCATAGGGCTTGTTCTCCAGACCCTTGATCATTTTAGTCACCCTCCTCTGGACACATTCCAGCTTGTCCAGAGGACAAGAAAAAAAATCACACTCATTGGCCACCGAAGTGGTTCTGTTTTTGAAGGGACCTCCAAGAGAAGAGACAGCACCTGGCCTCTATAAGTTTGCCAGTCTTTACAAACAGAGGCCTGGCATTCTCAACACTGCACCTATGCCGTTGCCAGAAAACAGCAGCAGAAACTTTCCAAACACTTGCACCACCACACTTTCCCTCTTGGTTTCGATTATCCCTGAAGTTGCTCTGGGACATTGGCCTTTGCAGCCTTTAAAAAAAGGTGGCCAAAGAGGTGCAAACAGGAGGGGAGCGGCCTGGAAAATCTTGCCAGCTTTCTCTTTCTGGAGGTGCAATTTGCAAGAGCTGTGCCCATAAACAATGCAAGGGGTGATTTTATGAAAGCCACCAGGAAACAGGCTTCCCAGAAGTGGTTACTTATTGCACAAAAAAGATCCAAAAGAGATATAGCAACTGACTGAGAGGCTGCTGGGCAGTTTATTATTCTTGTTTTAAATTGTATTTAAAACAACAATAATAAACTGCCCAATGTATATTATTTTTGTTTTAAATTGCTTATTTTATGATGTTTTAATCTTGTTACTGATGTATTTGGATTGTTGTTTACATGGTTTTAATATGTTGTAAGCTGTTTTGGGTCCTGTGAGGGACAAAAGCGGGATATAAAGATTTATTATTATTATTATTTGAAACACAACAAGATGAGTCCACAGCAGACAAGATCACTCTGCTGATTGTTGTATTGGATCACACATAGGACACTTCCCAAGTGTCTAGGACTGTGTGATGTATTTATTATTATTATTATTATTATTATTATTATTATTTATTTGAAACACAACAAGATGAGTCCACAGCAGACAAGATCACTCTGCTGGCTGTTGTATTGGATCACACGTCGGACTCTTCCCAAGTGTCTAGGACTGTGTGATGTATCGGCGAATAATGCGTGCAGATCCGGGTAGGGGGTCTTTTGCAGCTAACAGAGGGTAATTTTGTCAGCGCTGATTGTTTTTAAGTGCTGGCCAAGGTTTTTAGGCACTGCACCCAGAATCAGAGTCAGAAGAGACTGCATGGGCCATCTAGTCCAATTCCCTTCTGCCCTGCAGGAAAAGCACATTCAAAGCACTCCCGACAGATGACCATCCAGTTTCTGTTTAAAAGCCTCCACTGGACTCTGAGGCAGAGAGTTCCACTGCTGAACACTCTTCTCACAGTCAGGAAGGGCAGCAGAAGACAAGCCTGCTCTCTCTTCTTTATGACATCCTTTCACATATGTATACATGGTTCTTACGTCTCCTCTCAACCCTCTTTTTTGCAGGCTAAACATACCCAGCTCCCTCATGGTCTTCCACCCTTTTAGTTGCCCTCCTCTGAACACCTTCCAGCTTAGAATCAATATTTCTTTTCAATTGTGGTGCCCAGAATTCTACACCGTATTCCAGGTGAAGAGGTGGGACCAAAGCTGAATAGAGGGGCACCATGATGTCCCTCAATCAGATTTGTTCTCCTCCCGCAGATGAAAGGGAGGCCGAAGGTGTCAAAGGTTTGCCCCGAGGGGCCACCAGGGACACCTCCCTTCGGCCTGCCATCCATTTGTCCCTTATCTCCACCGCTGCCGGTCTCGCAATCTGATATTTACAAGTTCTCCAAGGCTTGAGGTGAGAGAAACTCAGCATCCTCCTATCAGATCCTGGCCTTCCCTTGAGCTGCTTCCCTGCACGTCCTCCATGGAGTCCCTTCCCAAGGAGAAAGCAATGGTTAAGAAGGCCAGCACAGATTGTATTATCTGAGACTTTTGAGGAACCAACAATAGATTGAAAAACTGCTCATGACTTTCTATTGCTATGCTATAGAGCAGGCTGGGCAAACTTGGGCCCTCCGTGTGTTTTGGACTTCAACTCCCACATTCCTAACAGCCTCAGGCCCCTTCCTCTTCTTTCCCTTCTCTTCCTTCTTTCCGCCCTCCCTCCTTTCCTTCCATCTTTTCTTCCTTCCCTCTTTCCTACCTCTTCTCCCCTTCCTTCCCTTTTGTCCCCTTCCTTCCTCCTTCCTTCCTTCCATCCTTCTTTCTCCAATCTTGGTATCGCAAAACTTGGGCCCTCCAGGTGTTTTGGACTCCAACTCCCACAATTCCTCAAACAGCCTCAGGCCCTTTCCTTTCCCTCCTCTTGCCTTTCCTTACCTCTCTCCCTCCCTCTTCTTCATTCTTTTGTCCTTTCCTTCCCTCTTTCCTCCCCTCTCTATCCTTCCTTCTTTTTTTCATTCCTTTTCCCTCCCCTCCCCTCATTCCATCTTTCTCTTCCACCCTTCTTTTCCTCCCCTCCCTCTTTCCTCCTTTCCTTCCTTCCCTTCCCTCTTTTCTCCCTTCCTCCCTTTTGTCTTTCTTTCTCTCTTCCCTCCCTCCCTCCTTCTCTTCCTCCCTCCTTCTTCCTCCCTTTCCTTTTCCTCCTCTTCTCCCTCCTCCTTCCTTCCACCCTTTCCTCTTCCTTTCTTTCTCCCTTTCCCTTTTTCTACCTCTTTCCCTCCTTCCCCCTCCCTCCATTCCCTTCCACCTTTCTCTTTCCCCCTTCCTTCCTTCCTTTCCTCCCCTTTCCCTTCCCCCTTTTCATCCTTCCTTCCCTACTTTCCTCCCTCCTTCCCTTCCTCCTCCTTCCTCTTTCTTCTTCCTTTTCTTCTCTTCCTCTTCTCTCTCCTCCCTTTCCTTTCCTTCCCTTCTCCCCTTCCTTTCCCCCCTTTTCTCCTTCCTTCCTTCTCTCCTCCTTCCCTTCTCTTCCTCCTTTCTCTTTCCCCTTCCTTCCACCCTTTCGTCCATCCTTCCCTTTTGTCTTCCCTCCCTCCATTCCCTTCCATCCTTCTCTTCCCTCTTTCCTTCTCTTTTCCATTCCTTCTTTCCTCCTGGGGATGTTTAACTGGGAGAACAGAAGGTAGAGAGGGAAAATGAGAACCATGTTTCAAGATTCAAAGGGGTGTCCCATTGAGGAGGAGGAGAGGGGGAAATCTGACTTTCTGCTGCTCTAGAGACCAGGGCGCAAGGGAGCAATGGGTTCAAATGGCAGGGAAAGAGGTTCGACTGTGAAAATTAGGAAGAACTAATAATATAATATAATATAATATATATACATATATTTATAATATTATAATGTACTTCATCTGTACATTGCAGTACGCAGACTGAAAGCCAAAACCAAGGTTACAACAACATCTGTTATAGAACTCCAGTATGCTGATGACAACGTCGTCTGTGCGCATTCAGAAGAAGATCTACAAGCCACTCTAAACACCTTTGCAGAAGCATACGAGAAGCTCGGCCTGTCATTGAACATTGAAAAAACCAAGGTGCTGTTCCAGCAGACACCAGCCAACCCCTCTCCAATGCCAGTGATACAGCTTAATGGTGTAACATTAGAAAATGTTGATCATTTCTGCTTCCTTGGCAGCCACCTCTCCACCAAAGTCAACATCGACACCGAAATACAACACCGCCTGAGCTCTGCGAGTGCAGCATTTTTCCGAATGAAGCAGAGAGTGTTTGAGGACCGGGACATCCGTAGGGATACCAAGGTGCTTGTTTATAAAGCTATTGTCCTCCCAACCCTGCTATGCGCCTGAACATGGACTGTCTACAGACATCACATGCAACTCCTGGAACAATTCCATCAGCGCTGCCTCCGGAAAATCCTGCAAATCTCTTGGGAAGACAAGCGGACAAATGTCAGCGTGCTGGAAGAAGCAAAGACCACCAGCATTGAAGCGATGGTCCTCCGCCACCAACTCCGCTGGACCGGCCATGTTGTCCGGATGCCTGACCACTGTCTCCCAAAGCAGTTGCTCTACTCCGAACTCAAGAACGGAAAACGGAATGTTGGTGGACAGGAAAAGAGATTTAAAGATGGGCTCAAAGCCAACCTAAAAAACTCTGGCATAGACACTGAGAACTGGGAAGCCCTGGCCCTTGAGTGCTCCAGCTGGAGGTCAGCTGTGACCAGCAGTGCTGCAGAATTTGAAGAGGCACGAATGGAGGGAAAGAGAGAAACGTGCCAAGAGGAAGGCGCGTCAAGCCAACCCCGACCGAGACCGCCTTCCACCTGGAAACCAATGCCCTCACTGCGGAAGAAGATGCAGAGCAAGAATAGGGCTCCACAGCCACATACGGACCCACAAGAACATTGGAAGACAATCATCCTCGGAAAGCGATAATATTTATAATATTATAATGTAATGCAATATAATATTAATAATATATTATAATTATATATTTATATTACATGTAATATTACTAACAATATTACAATATAATGGTATAATACAATATAGTAATATTATTACTGATATTGTACTATGCTAATAACATAATATGTTGTATGTATATATATATTTTGGAAACCGCTCTGAGTCTCCTTTGGGGATGGGAATGGTGGCATATAAAGAGTGGAATATTGTGTCCGATTGTGGGCACCACAATTGAAGAGAGATATTGACAAGCTGGAATGTGTCCAGAGGAGGGCGATTAAAATGATCAAGGGTCTGGAGAACAAGCCCTATGAGGAGCGGCTTAAGGAGCTGGGCATGTTTAGCCTGAAGAAGAGAAGGCTGAGAGGAGACATGATAGCCATGTATAAATATGTGAGAGGAAGCCTCAGGGAGCTGGACCCCCCCCCCCCCCCACTTTTCCTGCCTTCTCCCCAAAAGAGGGTCTGCCTTGAGCCTTTGGAGAAGATCCTTGCCATCGCCCTTTGTTTACCCTGTTTTGCTTTCCTTCCTTGGGAGCTTTGAGAGGGAGAGGCAAGGCCCCGCACCCTTTCCAGGGAATTAAAGGGGACGCGTCCCCTTTTTGGAGGGCTGACCTTTCCGAGGGCGACGGTGAAGTAGACGAAGAGGCCCGAGGCGGCGGCCACCTGGAGGGCCAGCAGAGCTAGCGCAGCCACCGCCAGCCAGCACCCCCCTCCTCCGCCGCTACCACGCCGCTTGGGCTCGGGACCTGCGCTTGGAAGCATCATCATCGGCGCCGCAGAGTCCGCCGAGTCCGAGCGGAAGAAGGCCTCCGAAGGGGGCGCCATCGCCGGGGAAGGGACGGAGCGAGGACTGACTGCCCAGGGACGGCGCGCTGCGCTGGTCTGTGGCTCTTCGGAAGGACACGCCCCCTTTTGGAGGGACACGCCCACTGAGGAGGGGGAGGGCGTGGCCTGGGCAGGAGTCAACAAAGGCCCCAAAGGCGCCACGTGGAGGGGGAGGAGGAGGGAGAGAGGAGGGGGGGAAGAAGGAGGAGGAAGAGGAGGAGGAGGAGGAGGAAAAGGAGAGAAGAAGGAGGAAGAGGAAGAAGAGGAGGGGAAGGAGGAAGAGGAGAGAAGAAGGAGGAGGAAAGAGGAAGAAGGAGGAAGGGGAAAGAAAAAGAGGGAAAGAAAAGAGAAAGGAAAAGAAGGAATGGCTTCATGAAGAAGGGGAAGGAAAAAGGAGAAAAAGAAGGAAGAAAGAAGAAAAGGGAGAAGGAGAAGACAAGAAGAGAGGGGAAAGAGAAAGAGGAGGAGAAGAAAAGAGGGAAGAAAGAGAAGAAAAGGGGGAAATAAGAAGTCAAGAAGAAGAGGGGGAAAGGAAAAGCAGGAAGAAAGAGAAGAAAAGGGGGAATGAGAAGTCAAGAAGAAGAGGGAGGAAAGGAGGAAGAGGAGGAGGAGAAAGAGGAAGAAAGAGAAGAAAAAGGGAAAGAAGAAGGAAGAAGAGGGGAGGGAAAGGAAAAAAAGGAGAAAAAAGGAGGAAGAAAGAAGAAGAAGAAAGAAGAAGAGAGAAGAAGGAGGAAAGGAAGAAGGGGAGGAAAGGAAGGGAAGAAGAAGAGAAGAAAAAGGAAAAAGAAGGAGGAGGAAGAAAGAAGAAGGAAAAAGAAGGAAGAAGAAGGAAGAAGGAAGGAATGGGGTAATAAATCTGCATGGTCGCCGATATCAGTGCTTCAGCAAAGAGAACAACGGCAAGGCAAAAATAAATAATAAATAAATAGTCAAGAAGAAGGGGGGAAAGGAGAAGAGGAGGAGGAGAAAGAGGAAGAAGAAAAGAGGGAAGAAAGAGAAGAAAGGAAGGAAACGAGAAGTCAAGAAGAAGGGGGGAGGAGAAAGAGGAAGGGGAGAAGAAGAAAGAGAAGAAAAGGAAGAAGAAAAGAGAAGAGGAAGGGGAAGAGAGTAAGGAGAAAGAGGAGAAGGGGAGAAAAAGAAGAATAAAGAAGAAAAAGAAGAGAAAAGGTGGAAGAAAGAGAAAGAAAAGGGGGAATGAGAAGAAAGAAGAAGAGGGGGAAAGGAGAAAAAGAGGAGGAGGAGAAAGAGGGAAGAAAAAGAAAGAGAAAAGGGGAAATTAGAAGTCAAGAAGAAGAGGGGGGAAAGGAAAAAGGAAGAAAAGAAAGAGAAGAAAAGGGGGAATGAGAAGTCAAGAGAAGAGGGGAAAGGAGAAAGAGGAGAAAAAAGAGGGAAGGACAAAAGAGAAGAAAAAGGGGGGAAAGAGAAAGTCAAGAAAAGGAGAGGGAGGGGAAAGGAAAAAGAGGGAAAAAAAGAAGGAAGAAGGAAAAGAAAAGGGGGAATGAGAAGTTAAAAAGGAGAAAGAGGAGAAGGGGAGAAAAAGAAAGAAGAAAGAGAAGAAGAGGAAGAAAGAGATGAAAAAGGGAATGCGAAGTCAAGAAGAAGTGAGGAAAAGGAAGAAAAGAGGGAGAAGAGGAGAAAAAAGGAAGAAGAAAAGGAGGAAGAAAGGTGGAAGAAAGAGAAAAAAGGGGAAGAAGGAAAGAAAGAAGTTAAGGAGAAGAGGAGAAGAAGGGGAGAAAAACGAAGAGAGAAGAAAAGGAGGAGGAAGAAAGAGAAGAAAAGGGGGGGATGAGAAGTCAGAAGAAGAGGGAAAAGGAGAAAGGAGGAGAAGGGAAGAAAAAGAAGAAAAAAAGAAAAAAGGGAGGAAAAAGGGGAAGAGAAAGAGAGAAAAGGGGAAGAAGAGAAGAAGAAGGAGAAAGAGAAGGGGAGAAGAAGAAGAAGAAGAAAAGGAGGAGGAGAAAAGAAGAAAAAGGGGGGATGAGAAGTTAAGAAGGAGAAAGTGGAGAAGGGGAGAAAAACGAAGAGAGAGAAGAAAAGGAGGAGAAAAAGGAGGAAGAAAGAGAAGAAAAGGGGGGATGAGAAGTCAAGAAGAGGGGGAAAGGAGAAAGAGGAGAAGAAGGGGAGAAAATGGAGGAAGAAGGAGAAGAAAAGGAGGAGACAAGGGGGAATGAGAAGTCAAGAAGAAGAGAAGAAAAGGGGGAATGAGAAGTCAAAAAGAAGAGGGGGAAAGGAGAAAGAGGAGAAGGGGAGAAAAAGAAGAAAGAGAAGAAAAGGAGGAAGAAAAAGAAGAAAAAGAAGAAAAGGGGGAACATGAGAGAAGCTTCACACAGGATAGTACATGAGTGAAGCCTCCCACAGGATGGTACAAGAACTAAGCCTCCCATATCTGAAAGTCTAAAATCTGTGAGAAAATACTGTAATGCTTGTGAAGGTGAAAGGCAACAGGAGAAGAGGAGACTGCATAACAAATAATGGACTTCGTGGCTGCCTCTGAAAGACCTGGGAAGGTGACTTGGAGGCCTCTTATCCATAGGGTTAAAGGTAAAGGTTTTTCCCTGACATTAAGTCCAGTTGTGTCCGACTCTGGGGGTTAGTGCTCATCTCCATTTCTAAGCCGAAGAGCCGGCGTTGTCCGTAGACGCCTCCAAGATCATGTGGCCGACATGGCTGCATGGAGCGTTGTTACCTTCCTATTGATCTACTCACATTTGCATGTTTTCAAATGACCCCCCCTCCCATAGGGTTACCATACGTCAAATCCATAAGGTTACCATACGTCAAAGACAGTAAACAAAGCCATTCAATACAACAACGACAATGCAGTCCATCTCCTGTCTCTTTCTCTTAGTTCAGAAACTGTATGCTGCGTGCATCCACTACTCTCTGTAAAGCTCTTTTGGGGACACTTTTCCAAGCTCAGACTAAATAGCTGTTTATCATGAGGCCACTGCATGCTGGCATTAATACTATGCCCGAAGCGGGTCTTGAGAGCAACTTAGGTCCCGTCGTGCCTCTTCCCCCGAGTCACGCTCCCCACTTTTGTGAAGCCCGACCGCAAGGCCTTTCTGCTGATTCAGGCAAAGCTGTGCTTTCTTGCTAGGAGACCAGGGCAGAGAGCCAAACATCTGGAGCGGGGCTCTTTTCCGGCTTGCAAAAGAAGAAGAAGAAATACCGCACATATATCACTCTTTTTGGAGATGGGGTTGCAAGGAAGAAAGAGAGCTGTGCATTCATTTGTCACTTAAAGGGTGCAGATGGGGCAGCGGCATTTTGATGGATCCCTGTTGTGATGGGTTTCCAGGTGTTAAGCATCAGAGGTGTTGCACCCCAAAATAAGAATCTCCATGTCCCCATTGAATTTGCCTTTGGTTCCCACATAAGTGAGTGACTGCACTTTCACGTTGCTTGTTCGTTTACAGCAGTGTTTCTCAAACTGGGGGTCAGGACCCCTGGGGGGGTCGCGAGTGGGTGTCAGAGGGGTCACCAAAGACCATCAGAAAACACAGTATTTTCTGTTGGTCGTGGGGGTTTTGTGAAGGGTGGCTCAACCCATTACGCAAAGTAAGCATTTGCAGTATAGTTGATTTTGCCCAGGGGCGCTCTTGAGGTGCTCTTGGGGGAAAATAGACCTTGACATATGCGAGTTGTTGTTACTGGGATGTATAGTTCACCTACAATCAAAGAGCATTCTGAACTCCACCAATGATGGAATTGAACCAAATATGGCACACAGAACTCCCACGACAAACAGAAAATATATATCAGTGATTGGTTGGGGGGTGGGGGTGGCAAAATACTGTTTGCTTGCCGTTGAAAATTACCTAGGGCTGCCTCTGTCTGTGTGAGACGTTTGGCCCAATTCTATTGTCGGTGGGGTTCAGAATGCTCTTGGATTGTAGGTGAACTATAAATCCCAGCAACGACAACTCCCAATGGTCAAGATCTGTTTTCCCCAGACTCCACCAGTGTTCACATTTGAGCATATTGAGCCAAGTTTGGTCCAGATTCCATCATGTTTGAGTCCACAGTGCTCTCTGGATGTAGGTGAACTACAACTCCAAACTCAAGGTCAATGCCCACAAACCCATCCAGTATTTCCTGTTGGTCATGGGAGTTCTTGTGTGCCAAGTTTGGTTCAATTCCATCGTTGGTGGAATTCAGAATGCTCTTTGATTGTAGGTGAAGTATAAATCCCAGCAACTACAAGTCCCAAATGACAAAATCAGTACCTGGTAGCTATGCTTTTCAGAGGCACACCTTGCTGCCAAGGTATAAAGTCATCCCTGGCTGGGAAGCACAGCTTTTGTGTTTGCTTCGCTTGCCCCAACTTGCCTCTGTCCAATTAATCTGAACATCAAGACACTAAGAAATTTTTGTTATTGTTGGGTTGTGCAGGGCAAAGATTTTTGTTTTTAAAAACTTTTTTCTCTAGTCAGCCTCTTTACTGGTCAGACTGGTTGGGGGATTCTGGGAGTGCTAGTCGGAAATAGTGCAGTTTTCCTCAAATGAATGGTTATATTTTTCTCTTGTTGGGAATAATTCCATAAGAAACTCATCAAAGTCCTAAGGAACACGGAGTGATTTTGTTAAAAGAAACCCTCCCCATGCAGTTAATGGGAAGGTCCAGAGACTCAATGGGATCCTCTCCCAAGCTCTAAATGGCCCACAGAGAACCAGATTCCTAAATGATGCTATTATTATTATTATTATTATTATTATTTTACTGACACAAAACCACAGTATGTCACAGAAAATGAGATCTATATGCGGTTGTTATTATTCTTATTATTATTATTATTAGATACACAACAAGATTGGTACACAGCAAACATAGAACTATCTCAGAGAATTGAAAGAGACCCCAAGAGCCATCCAGTACAACTTGATCAAGGGTCTGGAGAACAAGCCCTATGAGGAGCGGCTTAAGGAGCTGGGCATGTTTAGCCTGAAGAAGAGAAGGCTGAGAGGAGATGATAGCCATGTATAAATATGTGAGAGGAAGCCACAGGGAGGAGGGAGCAAGCTTGTTTTCTGCTTCCCTGGAGACTAGGACGCAACAATGGCTTCAAACTACAAGAGAGGAGATTCCATCTGAACATGAGGAAGAACTTCCTGACTGTGAGAGCCGTTCAGCAGTGGAACTCTCTGCCCTGGAGTGTGGTGGAGGCTCCTTCTTTGGAAGCTTTTAAACAGAGGCTGGATGGCCATCTGTCAGGGGGATTTGAATGCAATATTCCTGCTTCTTGGCAGGGGGTTGGACTGGAAGGCCCATGAGGTCTCTTCCAACTCTTTGATTCTATGATTCTGTGATTCTATGTATCGGCAAATAATGTCTGTAGATTCGAATAGGGTGGTCTTTCGCAGCTGACGGTAATTTTGTCAGTGCTAATTGTTTTTAAGTGCAGGCCAAGGTCTTGCATTGCACCCAGTGTGCAATCACCACTGAGACCACCTTGACTGGCTTGTGCCAGAGTCTTTGCAGTTCAATCGTTAAATCCTTGTATCGTGTCAACTTTTCCAGTTGCTTCTCGTCAATCCTGCTGTCGCCTGGGATTGCAACATCAACGATCCAAACTTTTTTCCACGATTGTGAGGTCAGGAGTATTGTGCTCCAAAACTCTGTCAGTCTGAATTTGGAAGTCCCAGACTAGTTTCACCACCACCACCACCACCACCACCTCCTCCACCACCACCACCACCACCACCACCACCACTACTACTACTACTACTTTCTTTTGTTGCACTTCTATCCCATCTTTCTCCCAAAGGTGTGTTTGTGTGATGCTTGCTGTGTAAGCTTGTTCTCTCCAAGCTTCAGGTCTCTTTCACTTGCACCATAACGCATTGGACCTGGTGCCTTCCTCCTTGCCAAGGAGGCCTTCTAGGGCAACCTGGCCCAAGATTCCTCCCATCGATGGCCCCCAGTCTGTACTAGTCTTGGACTCTTGCCTCAATGGAATCTCTTATCAGAGTTTTATGGTTGCTACAGGCTTCAGCTTCTCCTGAACGCCCAACCATGCCACTCTTCTTCACGCTAGGCTGGCTAGCAGCTGAAGCTAGTGGCCAAGACGGGCACTGGCCTCTGAAGTATGGGATGCTGCCAAAAGTGGGACCCTAGGGAAGGAAGCCAGAGCCCAGGCACGTGGCAGACTGGGTCTGGTTGCCCAACGTGACCAGCTGGACTTCCTCTCTGCAGGGCAGATGGGCAGGAAGAAGGGCTCTCTAGTGACTCAGACACCACACAGAAGGGGGCCGGTTTCTGCTGATCCAGCCAGAAGCAAAGCAATGCTTTGCCATTACAGCTCAGCACCAGGGAGAGCTTTTGAGCAGCAAGGGTTCAAACATATAAACTTCCTCATTAATGTCTGGTGGGTTTTATGGAGAAGTTGGACCATGGTCATCTCCCCGGATTCGAACCTGCGACCTGTCAGTCTTCAGTCCTGCTGGCACAGAGATTTAACCCACTGCACTACCAGGGGCTCCTTCAATCCTGCTTCTTGGCAGAATGGGGTTGGATTGGATGGCCTAGGCGTCTCCTCCAACTCTATGATTCTATGATTCTCTCTTTTGAAAGGCCTGCTATTATTCAAAGTTGAAGCAAGAACATATTTGCTTGTTTCCCATCTGTTTTGCCGCATTTTCCGGGGCTTGTTTGGCCTCCGGAGGCTTGTGGCCCCAACTTGTCTGCGCTTCCCTGGTTAGATTTGAAAACATTTCCATCCCAAGGGAAGGGAGACGCTCCAAACAAAGGACAGCCTGCCTATTTCTCTCCGAAAAGGCAATTCGGAATCGAGGAAATAAATCAGATTAAAAAGAGGTCATTACGCCCTGTGTAAACCTATCAAGAAGGTGGAAGGAAGGGTGGCTTCTGGACTCAAAACATTATTTTTTGTTTGACCCGAGGAATGTCAGCAAAAGGAAACCAAGTGCCATTGTTTATAATAACAATCTAGAACTTTGTTTTGGAATGAATAGGACAGAAATGGGCAGCTATGCCCTTTCCCCTTGTTTGGAAAATCTGCAATGTCTTTTTTAAATTCAATTATATTCTATTATAATTTTAATATTCTATTCCATGTTTGGAAAATCTGGAATGTCTTTTATCTATTCAATTATATTCTATTATAATTATAATATTATAATAATATTATAATTTTGGGAGTTCTCCTAGATTCATCGCTGAGCCTGGAGCCCCAGGTCTCGGCGGTGGTCAGGGGAGCTTTTGTACAATTAAAACTTGTGCGCCAGCCGCACCCGTACCTTGGGAAGTCTGATTTGGCCACGGTATGGTCCACGCTTTGGTTACATCCCGGTTAGACTACTGCAACGCTCTCTACGTGGGGTTGCCTCTGAAGACTGCCCGGAAGCTGCATCTAGTCCAACGCTCGGCGGCCAGACTACTAACGGGTGCTGGGTACAGGGAGCACACCACTCCGCTGTTACACCAGCTCCACTTAGCTTCCGAGCACAATTAGCTTCCGAGCACAATTCCAAAGTGCTGGTGTTAACCTATAAAGCCCTAAACGACTCCGGCCCTGTTTACCTCTCCGAACGTATTCTCCCCTATGAACCATCAAGATTATTAAGATCGTCTGGAGAGGTCCTGCTCTCGGTCCCACTGGCCTCACAAGGGCGTCTGGTGGGGACGAGGGACAGGGCCTTCTCGGTGGTGGCCCCTCGACTCTGGAACTCTCTCCCACTGGAGATCAGAACCGCCCCTTCTATCCTGACATTTAGGAAACATGTGAAGGCTTGGTTATGGAGACAGGCATTTGATGAGTGAGCCAACACCCTGAGATATGGATGGAGGATGATGAGCAACGACTTTAGTGTGATGACTGACCATTATAGTTATTGATTGTAATTGCTGTTTTAATGTTTTACTGTAATATGAATTATGATGTTTTATTGATTGTATGTGATATTATGGTTGGAAACCGGTCTGAGTCCCTCAAGAGAGGTGAGAAAGTCGGTATACAAAACTTTTAAATAAATAATAAAATAAATGAATAAATATTATAATAATATTATAATTATAATATTCTATTCCACGTCTGAAAATCTGGAATGTCTTTTATTTATTCAATTATATTCTACTATAATTATAATATTCTATTTCACGTTTGGAAAATCTGGAATGTCTTTTATCTATTCAATTATATTCTATTGTAATTATAATATTATAATAATATTATAATTATAATATTCTATTTCATGTCTGGAAAATCTGGGATGTCTTTTATCTATTCAATTATATTCTATTGTAATTATAATATTATAATAATATTATAATTATAATATTCTATTCCACGTTTGGAAAATCTGGAATGTCTTTTATCTATTCAATTATATTCTATTGTAATTATAATATTATTATAATATTATAATTATAATATTCTATTCCACGTTTGGAAAATCTGGAATGTCTTTTATTTATTCAACTATATTCTATTATAATATTCTATTCTATTGTATTCCACTTTTGGATAGTGTGCACTGAAAAGAGAAATCCAGTAGCATTTCAGAATCATAGCCTTCAAAGGGCCACCCAAAGACCATCTAGTCCAACCCTATTATGTAAGCCATTTTGGAAGAGATCCTGCCAAAAGTTGGGAAATCCCATTGACAAAAAAAGAGTGTAACAAGTGACTTTCTAGATCTCTAGGACTCTGCCCAAAAACGGGTTACTTTTCTGTCCTCTATTTTGATTTAAAAAGTTCAATTGAACTCTATGTAATTAATTCTCTGCCCAGATACCAAAAACACGCCCTGAGCTGTCACTCAAGCAAGTACGCTGTCCCTTTAAGGCGTTGCCACGCCCCGTTTCTCAGCAGGCCAATCAGAAGTGGCGGACTAAAACATAAGCCCACACACTCTTAACCCAGCCGGATGGCCCCGCCTCTTCCCGGGCCACCTCCGCTCCCCATTGGCTGAGTGAACCGGTGTTTAAATAATCACTACAACGGCCTCCTTAGCTGCGCTCTGATTGGCTGCCGCGGAGCCAATCCAAGGCCGCCCTCCGCCAAGGTTGCAATTTTCAAATTCACACTTTGTGCTGCAGAGGAAGGAAGGGATTCCGCCGATCCAGGTACATTTCCTATCCTGACTTTTGCACGTGTGAACGCGCCGTTGCGTGTTAATTTTCCAATCTGGGGATGAAGGGAAGGAGGGTTTTCTACCCTGAGGAATTAATGCAGCTTGGCCACGCTTTAACTGCCATGGCTCAGGCCTTTGGAAGCTTTGGCAGAGAAGGCGGAAGACCTTGCAAAACTATAGCTTCCAGGATTAATTGAACCTTGGGAGTTAAAGTGGTGTCACACCGCATTAATTCCAAAGTGTAGATGCACCCAATGTCTCTGCTGAATTTGGAGTGCTGGGGCCCCTCCTTTTGCCCTTAGAATCCTAGAGTTGGGCCATCATCCAGTCCAACCCCATTCTGCCAAGAAGCAGGAAAATTGCATTCAAAGCACCCCCGACAGATGGCCATCCAGCCTCTGTTTTAAAGCTTCCAAAGATTGGTTCAGATACCTTTTATGAAGCATACCTTTTTATTAAAAATAATTCATTTACAATTCTCTAACTCAGTGTTTCTCAAAGAGGTCGCCAAAGTCCATCAGAAAACATAATATTTTCTATTGGTCATTGGGATTCTGTGTGGGAAGTTTGACCCAGTTCTATTGTTGGTCGAGTACAGAATGCTTTTTGATTGTAGGTGAACTATAAATCCCAACAACTACAACTCCCAAATGCCAAGGTCTATTTTCCCCAGACTCCACCGGTGTTCACATTTGGACATATTGAGTATTCGTGCCAAGTTTGGTCCAGATCCATCATTGCATGAATCCACAGCACTCCTCTGGATATAGGTGAACTACAACTCCCAAACTCAAGGTCAATGCCCATTAAACCCTTCCAGTGTTTTCGGTTGGTCATGGGAGTTCTGTGTGCCAAGTTCGGTTTAAATCCATCGCTGGTGGAGTTCAGAGTGCTCTTTGATTATAGGTGAACTATAAATCCCAGCAACGACAACTCCCAAATTACAAAATCAGTCCTCCCCCCAACCCCACTACCATTCACATTTGGGCATATTGGGTATTTGTGCTCAATTTAGTCCAGTGAATGAAAATCCATCCTGCATAGCAGATATTTACATTATGATTTATGACAGTAGTTAAATGACAAATATCAAGTAGCAACGAAAACAATATTGTGTTTGGGGATCACCACAACATAGGGAACTGCATTAAGGGGTCATGGCATTAGCAAGGTTGAGAACCACTACTAATAATAAAACAACAACAGTAATAATAATGATGATGATAATTAAAGTCTTCTGGGCCCAATTAAGCTGAAATGCTTAATGCAGTGGTTCTCAACCTGTGGCTCCCCAGATGTTTTGGCCTTCAACTCCCAGAACAGTTGGTAAACTGGCTGGGAATTTTGGGAGTTGTAGGCCAAAACACCTAGGGACCCACAGGTTGAGAACCACTGTCTTAATGTACTTTGAGGTATTTAAATAATTTTTTTCCTGATTTTAATTGAGCTGTTTGGAGCTTATATTTATTATTTACTAGTTGTCCCCTGCCAGGCGTTGCTGTGGCCCAGTCTGGTGATCTGGAAAATAAAGTAATGAGAAAGTATTGGTTTCTAATATATGCAATGTCTTCATACTTGTGGGTAAACAGTATTTCTTGCTGTTCCTTTGTCAGTGTTGATGTAGAGATTGTCTGGTTTGCCTACTCTGGAACATGCAACATGTCATTGCCCTTCTGTAGGGGTCCCTTTCAAATCTATGATACTATATCTGTGTGTGTGTGTGAATCATATATATATATATATATATATATATATATATATATATATAATTAACTTTATTTGTACCCCGCTAGCATCTTCTGAAGGACTCAGTGCGGCTTACAATTATAATTATATTTCAGCCGTCATGAATTATTATTATTATTGATTTATATAATTACATTACATATTATAAATACTATATTATTATATTTTGTTTTATTATTATTATTATTATTATTATTATTATTTCAGCTCTAACGGCGTCCTTTCCAGTTTAGCTGCAAGAGGGCCGGAGGATGCCCCCGCCTCCCAGTTCCAAGACTGTCTCCATCAGGCAGCCTTGGCCAGGCAGAGCCATGGCAGTGGAGGAAAATCAGGCTGAGAAGGTGAGTCTCAGTATTTATTTATTTATTTACGACATTTATATGCCGCCCTTCTCACCCCGAAGGGGACTCAGAGCGGCTTACAAGTAAAAAGTAAATACAATATATTATATTATTATCATGCACAATATTAATATTATATATTACATTATACTATAACATTATCCTGTAATATTATTAGTAATATTGTATTTAATATAAAATATATAATTAGAATATATTATTATTATTATTAGTAGTAGTAGTATATTGTATTACATTATAATATTATCAATATTATATGTATATGCAATATATTATATTATAACTTCTGAGGATGCCTACCATAGATGTGGGCGAAACGTCAGGAGATAATGCTTCAGGAACATGGCCAGACACCCTGGAAAACTCACAGCAACCCAGTGATTCTGGCCATTTAAGCCTTCAACAACACATAAGTAAACATAATAATAATAGTCAGAGAAGGCTTCTAAAACTGCAACTCCCAAGATCCCATTGCGTTCAGCCACAGCAGTTAAAGTAGGACCAAACTGCATTCATTCCGCCATGTGGATGCACCCCTACTCATCCTACGCCAATGGGGTGGGCATCATACAGCTGGCAAGCAGCTTCCGCCTTTCTCTGCACTGGGTTCCTGTTTTCAGCTCCACAGAGAAGAAATGGACATTCAGTTTCAGAGGAATCTGTGATGGGTTCATGGAAGCAGGAGAATGGCCTCAGTCCTGTCCCTCCAAGTGGCCACCCGGATGGCTGGACACAAGGGACTCTGGGTCTCCCCCTAGATGCTCCTCCTTTAATCCCCTCCTCTCCCACTGAAGGGCCAGCCTCTGTGCGGATTGGGAGCAAGCTCAGTTTAGGGTCAAGAATCCTGTTGGAGCTCAGCTTGTGATTGTGTTTCAGGATCGTGTTGCTTTGGATGTGGGGAGTGATGTCAATGAGTTTCAAGATGGCAATGGTTTGGTCAAGGATATTGATGCAGAGAATGATCAGGAGATCACTGTTCAAAGTGTAGTCTCCCATGAGACCATCCCTGAAGGGTGTGGGGATGATGGCGTGCTCCCTGAATTGCTACTAGAGAATTCCCATGATTCGAAGCCTGAAAACAGCTCGGCACCTGGCCCAGCTGCAGAAATTAATGAGCAAATAGATAGACGGGAGATTAGTCAAAACAGAAAAGCCGAACAGTGGCTTCGGCGTTCTGCCAGGCTCTGAGAGAAAAAGATAAGAGATTCTCAGTTAAAGTGAAACCAATTTCTGAGTGCTTGGAACGTAGCTAACGATAGGATAAAAGTCCCAAGTACAGGATATGTAGTCAGATGAAGCATCGTTTGGAATCAAGTCAAGTTCTCGTCCTTGTTTCATGGAAGCCTTGCTTGGAAGATTCATATTTAAGTGCCCTTTGTTTCATGGTTTTGATTCCTGTATTCTATGATTTTATATTCATGTTTTGGATTCATGTTCCTGGTTTCTTGGATTTTATTAGAGAAGTTTTGACTTTGTTTTCATTGACTTTGCTGGACTATTTTCCCTGGACTATTTTGTTCCTGCTTATCTTCTTACCTAATTGGATTTACCCATTTCTTTAAAGTGCTTTTTACTTTACTTCTTTTTAATTATCTTCAATAAAAGGATTGTTTTCCTGCTTAATGGTGTGGTGTTTAAAGTCAGAGGGCTTTTTCCTGGAGTGCAATGAATCCCCTCCCCTATTGACTTTCCTCCTGCATCCCTTTTCGTTTCAGGGAGAAGCCTCCCAGGTAAAGCGGTCCCCCTCCTCACCCCAAGGGGCCCCCAAGAAACGCTCTGCCTTTGGGGATCTCACCAATGTAAGTACAGGCTTCTTCCTTCGTGGGAAAAATGGAGGTAAATATCCTCCTCTTCCTGGGTCTGTGGTGGGCTGCTTCAGTTTGCGTCTCCCCTGACCCCACTGGCACCTCCAAATTGAGTCTTTCCTTCCTCCCTAAACCTTCGGGCCCTTTCCTTTGCAGGCCCACAAGACTCAGCACTTAGTAGAAAAGAAGGAGGAGGCGGTGGTCAAAGTGGGCACCAAGAAGGCGGCATCAAAAGGAAGCAGGGTGGTCGTCTCCAAGAACAAAGAGATCAACTGTAAAAAGTAAGGAAAAGGCAGAGCATTCCTTGTGGCATTCCTGGGGTCACTTATTAGTACAGCTTTTGAAGCAGGCTTGTGAAGTAATGGTGCTAAAGAGGGAGACCTTCTGGGAATATTGGGGTGCAGGGGCTGGGCTTTGGGGGCCCCTTTCCCTCAAGAGCAAGGATCCGAAAAGACAGCCCTTGAGCCAGTTGGATTGGTAAACATATACTTAGAGCACTGATATATATATAACAGAATACATAGGAAATAGTATGTTATTGTYAATTGCTGAAATATCAAATAAGCCCCCAGTGGCTTAGTGGGTTAGCGGCGTGAGTTTCCTCTGTAAGCCCCAGCTTCTGCCAACCTAGCAGTTCGAAAACATGCAAATGTGAGTAGATCAATAGGTACCGCTCCAGCGGGAAGGTAATGGCACTCCATGCAGTCATGCCAGCCACATGACCTTGGAAGTGTCTATGGACAACGCCGACTCTTCAGCTTAGAAATGGAGATGAGCACCACACCCCAGAGTCAGACATGACTGGACTTAATGTCAGGGGACAAACTTTACTTTTTTACCTATAATATAATATAATATAATATAATATATTGTATATACATATAATATTTATAATATTATAATGTTGTGCATATAATAATAATATGATAATATAATTATATATTTATATTACATGTAATATTACTAATAATATTAYGATATAGTGGTATGGAGCAATATAGCAATGTACTYAAT